TCCTCCTCTGTCTCTCTCTCTCTACATACACACACATACACACACACATACACACACACACACAAACACACACACACACACACACACAAAACACAACACACACACGCATACACACACACACACACAAACACACACACACCACACACACATACACACACACATACACACACACACACACACACACACACACACATACACACACTGCACACACACAAAAAACACACACACACACACAACACACAAAACACACACACACACGCACACACACACACACACACACACACACACACACACACACACACACACACACACACAACAAACCGTCCCATAATGACAGTAGGTGATAATGAGTACACCATCCCCGTTTCACAATTCCTTTGAACCCTTAAGCAGTCTCGAGAATGACAATCCTGCTGATGATTTTTGCTTCACAGTCTCTGACGTAGTTTGATTTTGGGGAGGGAAGTGGAACAAGTCTTTTCTGATGACAATCCACCTTTTTGTTTGCACATAACTTCCAATGCAACCATAGGCCCTATAGTGGGAAGATCTGTTCATAATGCGCCCGTTCATTTGTTCATGGACTCTGGTGCGCAAGTCAATATTTCTAGGTCTAGTTTGTTTAAGGATAACAGTTTACGACATGTCCTTCTCGAGAACCGACTCATGTGTCCTCCCTTTGTGGAGTAGCTGGTTCTCACCTGCGTGTCCGAGGTCGGACTTTCCCTAACTTTTTCTATCCAAGGTAGAGACTTCACTGCTTCCTTCCTTGTTGTCGACCAGATTACTTCCCTGGTGACCTTCTACTGGGCTTTTCTTCCATGCGAGACTTACGCATTGTGCTCGACCCTTATCGATGGCATGCCCAAATTGATGATTGATCGTCCATTTTGGGGTTACCAGCTTGGATCCGAGATCTGCCATACTGCCGCAGAGTATGACATTCGAATTTTAAATCCTTACAGGCCAGTGCATTTTCCAGTAGCGTACCCAAGCGGTCAGGCACTGATGATCCGTCATCCTGTCTGTGTTCCTGCAAAATTCAGACTTGCAAGATAGTGTCCAGTTTACCTCAAGTGTCCGAGGACGCTTTGACTACCTTGAGTGCTGAGCCTATCCCTGCAATGTCTGCTAGTTTTAAGTAGTATTTCTCCACAGGGGACGCCTTGTCGGAAAACAATTACTTGCAACTAGTAATGCCATCTCTTGTTGATGTCACATGCCGTCTGCAGAAAGACGTTTTCTGCCCCAGCAAGTGCCCTCACTAGTGTGTCTGTTGTTGTTCCTAGTGTTTTCCCGATGGTGATAACGTCCCAGTTGACAGTGATTCTGCAAAGTAAAAGGTCTATTTGTTGAAAACCCTCCTTACATGTTGTAAGAGATAGTAAGATCCATTTCTTCCTAGCCAACATTCTGGTCACAGTTGTTCGTCTCAGAGCAAATACCAATCTTGTTGACCTTGTTCACTATCCTTACCCTGTTCAGGTAGAGGATGAGTTGTCACCTGACCAGTGGGTCGGTGCTATTTCTGCCGGGGAGACCTCATCCACTTCACGGGTCAATCTGTTCCACCAGTTGAGGACAAGACTTAGCTCCCACTGACTTTCCCAGATGAAGTCAAGCGTTGTTGACTCTGTTGAACAAACGTCGTAAAGCCATTGCTTACCGGTTAGATGTTATAACGAATTATTGTCCCATCGTATTCACTTGACTGGTATAGACCTATCTACATTTCCTGCGTACAGAATTCATTCAAAGTTGCTGTCGCGAGATTGATCAAACAATGCTTGATGATGGAGTTATTGCACTAGAATTCCTTGAATGCACCTTGATTTCCCGTACCTAAGAAGGATGGTCTTGGCGCCCGTGATTGCTTTAGGAAGTTAAATGCGAAAACTTTCCAGATCGCTTCCAACTCTGTACTGGGTATTTTTAAAGTAACATTTGGAGATACAAGTCTTTTACCCTGGATTTTTACAAGGGTTTTGGCAGTCCCCCTTTCCAGGACAACCAAGAGCTAACTGCATTCTCCACTCCTTAAGGTCATTATTTACTTCCTCGTATGGCGTTTGGATTACGACTCCTTCCACGTTCGAACCCCACATGGGCACACACATCAACATAAACAACACACCACACACATAACACTTTCACACACACTACACACACACACACCAACACACACACACACCACACACAAAACAACACACTTATATACTACAGGCCTAGTGTCCCAATCGAATGTGCCTAGGACCAAAATGGTAACTAACACAACACACACCACACACATACCACACACCTATACACACAACACCAACACACACACCACACCACACACACACATACCACACATACACACACAACACACACACATATATATACACACACCACACACACACACACCCCCCACACCACACACCACACACAACACACACACACACACACACACCACAACCACACACACACATACACACACACATAAAACACACACACACACAACACCACACCACAACACACACACAATACACACACACACACAAAATATATACACACACACACACACACCCACACACAACACAACACACCCCACACACACAAAACACACCCCACAACACACACAAATTACACACACACCACACACACACACACACACACAAAACACACACACACACACACACACACACACAAACACACACACAACACACACACACACACACACACACACACACAACACCACAACAACACACACCCCATATAACACACACACACAAAACCACACACCACAACACACACACACACACACACACACCAAACACACACAACAAAACAAAAACCCCACAACCAAACAACAAACCAACCCACAAAAAACCCAAAACCCAAAA